TTTATTTATAAATATACATTTTTTTCTTTTTTTTTTTGCAAATTTGCGCATAAGATGAAAAGTAATTGATAATTAAACAAAACTTAAATAAATTAATTTCCAAGTATAATACACCAGCTGAGAAGGGTAGTCCTTTCAGATAAGTTGTTTTAATGGGTTTGCACATACAAGATATTATCTATATGCTTTACGTTTGTATATTTAAATATCATGTTTTTACGTTGAACGACAAACACTATTTATATATTCCTTCACAAAAAGTAGCCATTTAAAAGATAGCGAAAAATTGCTTTTATAAGTTCTTGAATTAAAAAAAAAAAGATCATAAGCAAAAAAAAAATACTGGTTTAAAAATTGAAAACGTCTAAAATTTGTTTTTGTTTTTTTTGTTTTTGTTTTTATTTTTTTGTTTTTTATAAAGCAATCATAATAAAAATCTAAAAAATCAAAAAGATAATGGAAAATCAAAAATTTTATCAAGATAATTTAAGGTCTGAGAAGAGCTGACCGAGATATTTTTAAAAGATTTTATCAAACATAACTATCTAATCATCTTAATGGTTGACTATTTTACTAGGTATAATCATAATTATTTAGGAAATTTACAATTTATTTACAATTATTCTAAAAATTCAATAATTTACACTCTCTACGGATTTTACAAAATATAGCGATAATACTGCGTTAGTTTCAAACTAAGTGCGTAAAACGTGATTCTGATTTAAAATATATTATTAGCTATTAATATATTTAAAATGTAAATATAATAATATATAAATAAAATAGTATATTTAAAAACAAAAAGATGTTTAATAAATTTTTAAAAACGAATAAAAGAAACATATTTATATAATATATAGGAGTATACGTTATACAAAAGGTATACGCTCCCATTTAATGTCTATATTAAACTTAAACTTTAACATTGCATTTCGAAAGTTTATCCATACTTAAACTTTGAAAACGCTAGATGAAAAACTAAAAAATATAAAAAACTTAAAAACACGAAGTATTTAAAATTACGCAATATTATCGAAAAAAATGGCGCTAAACTAATAGAAGCAGATTAAAAAATAATGAAAGAAATAGTTTATCAAAAATAAATATGTTTGTTTAGAAACTACAGAATTAGATTCTAGGTTTGGTTTACATTTTATCTAAATCAGCTCGTTAAAAAAAAGAAAATTATAAAAAATTAAATGAGCACATACTTGCGACTGTTTATAAGTATAATCCCTTCATACACAGGCTCATAGAATGTGTTTGAAAAATTTTTTTTTTTGATAAAACAAATTTTCTAGACCTCCTTATGGGGTATGTAAAATTTTATTAAAATATCAATTTTATTTAAAATATAAAACAAGACTGGTGTGCGCAAATGTACACATCGTGTTTCAATTATTGTATTGCTTAAGTTTTATAGTGAAAAATGAACAAAATGAATTGTGTACGTTTGTACACATGGTGTACGAAGGGTATAAAAGAGAAGACAATTGTTGAATGGTTTAAATGGTTAAAATCAAAAATAACAATTATTTAAAAAAAGTACAAAAAAATTAAGTTGATTAATCAACTTAATTTTTTTGTACTTTTTTTAGAGTTTTAGAATCTATAATTATACGGACAATTGTCCGTATAATTATAGATTCTAAAACTCATATAGCAGCTGCGGCGCAGTGGTTAGAATTCTGGCTCAGAACCAAGAGGTTCGTAGGTACGATGTATCAAGAGGTACGACGTACTCGCGGAAAATTTTATCAGTGACAAGTTTTAATTTTCTAATAGTAAATTAAAACTTTTCTAATAGTAAATTAAAAAGAAAAGATTTAACGCCTGACCTTTACAAAAAAAAAACGCGATTTTAAATTTGAACGATAAAAAATTACTAAATTTACTTTAAAATATAATTAACGCAGGATTTTCTATTGTAATTTGTAGTATCTTTTGTGCGTTATTTCTCCTAGGAGTCATTTCAAAAAGTTGCACAATTTATTTTATAAAGAATTCAAAAGTTCATATACTTTGTTAATAAATTTTAAATTGACTCGACTTAAACAACTTTTAAAAGTCAGTAAGTTTTGTTTTGTTTTATCTTCTATAAGAATTTTATCAATGTTTTTTGAGAACTTTGTTCAATTTTTTTTTGAATTATAAAAATAATTTTATCTTACGAATAAAAAATAATCTGTCTCATATCACATAATCAGGGCCGCCGAGAGCTGTCAAGCCGCCTGGGACAGCAATCCTGATTGGCACCCTTATTTATCAAGTTTTTCCTATATTATATATAAAGGAGCTATTTTTTTTTTCAGGTACCTACATTTCATTTGGCTCCCCTTGGATATCTCCCGCCCAGAACAAACTGTCCTGGTGGCCCTCCCTCTCGGCGGCCCTGCACATAATATTTCATATTCGAGAAAAATGTTGTCTAGGCATTAGTACAAAAATAGTAAGTCTGAGAAAGATCTAAAATTTGAAATATTGAAATATGAGCATTGAA